CTCTCGCGCGACGCTGCCCTAAGGACATCAGGCTCCCATAAGTCTGTGCGGCTGCTGCCGCGATCTCGTCCCCAAAGCTCCTCGTTAAGCCCTTTGCAATTAAGCCCAGTGAGTCCTCCCAGCTTTTAACCCCATTTGTCGCACTCGCTTCCGCAGGGGAGCCTGAGCCTGCACGGTGCTGGTGGTGCCTGCCGGAGCCCCGCGTCGCGGTGGGCGTTAAACCCCCAGGGAGCGCTGAGCCCCGCACCATGGCCGGGTGTGCGGTAACACCGCAGCACCCTCTACCCCCCTGCAAGCCCTCCCCAGGGTGCCGGAGCTGGCTGGTGACCCCTGTCCCACCAGCACGTCGGAGCAATGGCTCACCTCCAACTCTGGCATTGTACGCAACGCCTGCTCCGCAGATTCGGTTGTTGGCTGCAGCCGCCACTTCTCCTGCACAGCGTGTCCCATGCCTGAGGAGCAGAGTTAGCGTGTGAGCCGTCCTCTGCGAGGGGTGAAGGGGCCTGGGACAGCCTCGGCCCCCGGAGAGATAAAGCACCCAGCACAGGGAAAAGATTTGCTTGGGCAATCAGCTGGCAAAACTCACCGATTCTCGTCCCCGGCAGCGTACCTGGGCTGGGGATCGGGGTCGTTGCTGTTGAAGTCGTAACTTGCCAGGGGGTCCTATTGCAAAAAAGAGGCACCGGCATGAGCAAACTGCTTTTCGGCGTGGGTTGTGACAGCTCAACACGGGCTCCTGGCGCTTCGCCCGGTGTCTGGCAGCGTGGATCGCCCTGCCCGCCCACGAGCTCGCTGCCTGCCCAGCCCGGAGAGGGCAGGGGGGGCCCCTTCGCACCCAGAAACTGAGTGGGGTTAACCTGGAGCTGTTGGAAACAGGGCTTCACTAAAGGAGCATAACTTTGCGCGTCGCCGTACTGCTTCGTCGTACCCAGGCTCACGTTCGGTGAGAAAGCACAGCATGGCGCGTCACCAGAGGGTGAGCCTCACCGGCTGCGCAGTTAGGACAGAGGAACTACAAACCAGTGAAACGATGTTGTTATAAACAACATCTTAAGATTTACCTATTCTTTCCTCCCGGCTCTCGGAGCACGTGAGGGCTTACCAGCTTTACTGGCTTTGCAGCTTGCTATAATTACATCTAATTTGGGGGCTTGAGCGTGTGCAAGTTCTAATGTTTCCTTGATGTGAAAATTCACTGCGGGAGACACCAAACCTTTTGATCCAGCCACGGAGAGGCTGAGTTCCCACTGCGAGGTCCCATGGGTGGGATAAAGGCACCAGCTCCCACCCTCCCCTGGAGACAACACGCCCTGAAGGAGCCGGTTCCTGCGGCCCGCGCTGCTCAGCCCATCGTAGTTACGTAGTTGGCAGACAGGTCCGGATGGTCCTTCTCGATCCCGTCATCCAGGACGGTCAGCACCACCCCCAGCCCGGTGTACCCTTTACTCCAAGCAGCGAGGATGTTTAGGTCGGGATTGATGCCATTGTTCTGGAAAACAGATTAAATTTGATCAGCCCCTGGGCTGCGGGTGACCTTCAAGGACTCTTCTGCTGCCTCATCACTGTCAGCATTAGTCCTGTTTACACATCAGGGAGGTGATTTGCTTGAGGATTAGAAGAGAGAGCGGCAAAATCTCACCATGTACCACTGTTTATGGAACCAGGGATCTGTCGGCACCACGCTGACGCTTCTCTTCGTGCGCCTCTTTACCGTTTGCTGCTCAAACCAGAGGACCTGGGTGGGAAGCAGCGTTGTCGGTGTCAGGCAGAGCTTGCCCAGCACGGCACGCCTCGGTCCCTGCAACCGCCTCCTCCCTACCTTTGGCTCTTTTGCCAGGCGCATATTCCAGCCCCAGTGTCTGCTCAAGGCTTTCTGCCTGGTGCCGCGGTGTTTGAAATGGTAGTAGGGCTCTCCCTCCACCACCTGCAGGCGCAAAGAGCTGCTGTGAGACACCGCTCTAGGCAAGCGGCCGGGCTGGGGACGCGTGTGCCAGCTCCCCGCGGGCCGCCGAGATCAGAAAGACGCGTTTACTGTGAGTCGCGCGCGGCAGGACAGGCGGAGGGCACCATTTGGAGAGAGAGCAGGCTCCCGGGGAAGGTTTGTGAGTGCCCTTCGGGTCTCCTCGCTCACCCGTGCACGCACGGAGGCCGTTAGCAACCTGCGGCCCTTACGCTTTCATCCGCGTCCGATGGTTTAAAAGCGCTAGAGGGGATGACCGAACGCCCTATTTTAAAATTAAACCGGCGTCCCGCCCTGGGACGCGCG